TTTTCACGCGGAACACGGACACAGCGGCCGGACGCTGCATCGGCCGCGTGGCAGAATGCAACCGTAGAAGGTGCACGACCGATCGTGTTGTCTGTACAGTTGCTGAATTAATGACGTGAAAACACTCACCGTTGTCAATGCATCTAGCGCGCGTTCTCTTGTACTTGCTTCACCATCGGTGAGCTGTTACTTGCTGTTAATGCTAGGACGAAATTATTTCGCCGAAGGTTTCGTGCTGGCCCTGAGTGTTGAACCCCGTTCCATTAGTTTCGGATCGTCACGACACGCGTGCTGCGAAGCTCACGTGCTTTCCGAGCCGGAGAGAGAGTCGTGCCTTCTGCTTTACATTCGGATGTAAACAGGAGAGGAGAATTCGCCCAGTCAATATGGCCGACTTCCGGCTTCATCACGGCTTCACAATGAGTGACGTCAGGGCCTCTCCTACCTTTCCTTTCTCCGTGTTTGCAGCCCTCCACTATGCGTCTTGTCGTCATATTGTCACGTGGTCGTGACGTTTACGAAGCCAGCAGTGCGTGTTCGAGACTACAGGCTTCATTCGGGTAGAGTGTACTAGAATAGGTTCTAGTACCTATTCTAGTACACTCTAATTTGGGTGAACCTGTGCTGGTAAACGATAACTCAAATGACAGCAATAGACCTGGTACGTTGATAGCGGTGAACAGGCCGTCGATAACATGATCACCGGCGCAAGCGTCGTCTTTCATATTGTAGCCACTGTAGCCATCGAACATTCTAGCGCTATCGCTCGTGCTCGCGTAATATCTTTATTGTTCGTGTCCTGTGTGTTGTGAACTCAAACAATCACAAAGCTTCTAAAACGTTGAGGTGTGTGCGGCGCCGAACGTTTCTAACAGTCTTTGCGGGTGAAACCTAAACGCGCCAAAAGAAAGCAGTAAACACGGTTGCAATATCGTGGTTATAGCATACGTAAAAAGACGTCATTACAGGTGTTTGAAGAATCAGTCCATCATACTTGGCCTGCTGGCCCATATCGAGCTTAGGCAGAGGTATCTTGGCGCCAGCTTGATCTGAAGTGGAGGCCAGGCAGGTAAGTGGGGTCGAGTGTCATCTTTTGCTCTGTATGTCATGGCAAAAAAAAATCGGGGAGAGAGGGGGGCGGGCGGGCTTGGGCTTAGTCCCACCCCCTGGCTACACTATGTTAGTCAATAAGTAGGAAGTGAGCTTTTTACTAAACAGTGAAATTCATATTTGAGACAGAGTATTTTCGACAGCTCAATGCAATTTTAACAAACAAAAATATATTTATTTTCCACGCAATTTACAGAAGCTTCTTCAGTGCAGTTACATTTGGTGCTGACCTGTTGGCGACTAATACACTTAAGTACAGGGGCAGGTGTACTGTCTATAACACGAAACACGTTTTGTTTTGGGACAGTAAATTCTTTGGCTTGACAAAAACATTCCATTTTTTTCGTGTATTCATAAATCCTATAACAGGAAAACTGTATTAGTACCAGCAAAATAAGAGTTTCATAATCTATGTTATAGTGGTGGTTGGCGTTTTTTAGGTATTTGTGCTTTATAGGTAACAGCAAATGCTTAAAGGTCAATCTGCAGAAATTGATGGATGCATTGAATCAACAAGGTAACCACACATGTGGCACTGCAAAGGAAGAGTGAGATGCAGGCGTTCATTTATCTCTCTTATTTTACTGACCCTTACGTGGTTACATTGCATAGCATTTGAACGTGACAGTACTTGAGGACTCTCTGCATATAGGTTTTGCATTCCCTGAAGTTAGTTTGTCACGTCAGATATAACTCAACAGTGTCAACAATGTTAATGGAGGACTTCTTCGTGTCGCTACATTTTTGTAGACACACTTCACACCAGCAGTAACCTGCAACACAAACAACGAGAGCTATTTCGAAATCTATAGTTGGCCTAATTGGCCTCTGAATGTAACAGTAACAGGAGATGTAAACATCACATGACACTGCATGATAGTTGCAGGTCTTTGACCATATTTGATTACCAAAGCTAGTTTATTGAATACACGGTCGACTAGGCTGGCCGTGGGCTCAGTGTGTGGGCAATTAAGGGCAGGGACTCCATGCACAGTTACTGCACATGCTTCAGGAACATGTACAGTACACATCTAACGCGATTTAACCGTCAGCGCCTAAGTGACTTAGTAGGTTAGATCACGCGCGGAGTGTCTTCTGCTGCGGAGTTCGCTGCATCACTTTTCAAAGTAGAGGCACGGCTGCCTGTTGTAAACTTTATACGCGAAGTGTTCGATTGTATTGTTTTATACATTGTGTCGTTTATCTTCGTGCGCTTTCATATAAAACTTCTGCATTCGTGCTGCTAACGGGTGGGGGGGCTGCTATATGTTTCTTTAAAATGCAAGCATTTATTGAGCAATCCGATGGCTTTTCTACTAAATTTCACCGACAATGGCGACAAAATTTAAATGCGACAATATATTAATTTCTCAGATCTTCACGGTAAACGACGGCAGTGAGAAAAATATACTGAATGACGCAGAATGAGTAAAATTGTTCGTACCACAGTATTTTCTCTCTATTTGCCGGGCTAATTTCAAGCTGGGAAATTTGTTCGAGTTATCTTAGTTTTATGCCGTACAAGAACGAAGCACACTACTGCTCGCTGTGGCATGTATATACTTCCATGCAGTATCTCAACGTATGTCGTTCAGCGTTTAGTTAGCATGATACTCCCAACGTTCAAGTGCACATTGCTTGCTGGTGGAGCTTTTTGATGATTCGTTATTTTTGATAGGTCAGGGCATTATATATTAGCCTCTTTAATGTTGTGTTTCTTGTATGCATAGTCAAACTTGTCGTGTAAACTTTTAGTGCAAATCCTGCATTATTGCCGTTTATCCGCAATAACTCACGCAGAAAGTTTGGGCGTCGGTTGCGCATCCAGTATATCTCCAGGACGAAAGTTACTGCGCAAAAAATACAAAAGTATGCCGCCTAAATCCCGCGGGAAAACTGCTCAAAGACAGTGGCTGCTCTCTCATAGTCATGCGGACGCTTTAAAGCGGCGTCGCGTGGTCCAACTTACGTCAAAACTTTTAAAAATGCTTTGTTGAGCGCAAATAGACAATACACAAGAAGAGAGGACGACCCTATGAGCGCTCGTCCTCGCGCCCGTCCTCTCTTCTTTTGTGAGGATTCATTGATGACTGATATGTGGGGTTTAACGTTCCAAAACCACCATCTGATTATGAGAGACGCCATAGTGGAGGGCTCCGGAAATTTCGACCACCTGGGGTTCTTTAACGTCCACCCAAATCTGAGCACACGGGCCTACAACAATTCCGCCTCCATCAAAAAGGCAGTCGCCGCAGCCGGTATTTGATCCCGCGACCTTCTTCTTGTGTGCTGTCCACTTGCGCTCAGATTTGTTCCAGTACGTCAAAACGACAGCCGTGCCTGCGCTTCCATCGGCATTCCTATCTGTGCACTATACTACTGCTGCCGCAACTATATCCAGCCCTAGCGGATGTGATACGACTAGAAGGCAGCATCTCGTGACAATCTTCAGGCCCAGACAATGAAAAACTTATAGGTAGAATAGGTCGTGAAAGGCCACTGGTAGATTGGACCGGCTTGCAATCTGCTCAAAACGCACCTTGCTCATGTTCTTGAACAGTGGACCCCGGAGGGGGTGTTTGACAGGCATCGTCAGAGGAGGTTGGCGAAATGGTGAACGCTTCCTCGTAGATTTTTTAAAGACGATAGTCTTTCTTGGGGACCTCCAACGGAAAAAAATTGGTTGGTCTGTCTGTTTTTCTGTACATTTGTCTGTTTGTCCGTCCTAACGATACTTCAAACGACACCAAACGGCCAACCCTATTCGCAGCGCCCACCAATATTGCACAAGGTTTGGCGTTCATAGTTGTGCGACTGTCAATTAGAAAGCAATTATTGTGCATATCTGAGGTGCCGTAACAATACTTCGAAGTTTTGTATGTCTGCCTTATACTAGAAGAGGCACACACAAGTGAGTCTAAGGAATGTAGCGTTTATCGCGCTGCGCTGACAGTGCAGCGCGATGCTCAAAAAGGTGTTTCCAACGCTTTGCTACGACGTCACGGTGGTGGCACCGGCCCGTCGCTTTGCGTTCTACACCTTATCACATCCGAGACTGGCGCGCATCTTTCTCCGCGGGCTGCACGCCTTCGTTTTCGAAGATAACTGTCAGATGGCACTTCTGTCTAACGTGCCTCGATGCGCTCGTTCGCCTCCGCTACACGCTCCAGGCACTCTAACGCAGCGCCTCCAGAATACTATTCACCGATTTTCTTGCGCAGAACATCAAATAAACGTTTTGTTCACTCTCTCCAGACGCAAGACTATTGTCTTTCGACTACATTTGCGGTGTAACGTGCAGATTTGGAACCAATTTTTTTTCTTGTTTTCTTGCAACGCATGGACTAGGACACTAGGTGAAACGACAGACAAGTTGCCCTCAATGCCAATCGTTCTCGATTCCACGTCGCGGTATTGCACTACATGATCAAAGTTTTCATTGAACGAGGCATAGTTTTGAGAACGCGCACTTTAGACTCCCACACTAACCCAGTGTGGAGTGTTGTATATTTTGATTGAATAGCCGTGGTGTACACTACTTATTTTGCAGCAAACAGCCACACCTCTCACCTGCAGGGCAGATAAATCTACAGTCACTGGTGCTCGTCAGTCAGACTAGAGGTCTGCAAATGCTTCCCTTCATTGTCCACTGAGCGAAAGCTTCAAGGAAGGAGGATTAGCGGCGCACTATGAACGAATAATCTTTTTTCCCCTCTTTTTTGGCATTTTAGATGAAGGCGAAAATGCTGTAGGCCCGTGTGCTCAGGTTTGGGTGCACGTTAAAGGACCCCATGTGGTCGAAATTTCTGGAGCCCTTCACTACGGCGTCTCTCATAATCATATGGTGGTTTTGACACGTTAAACACCATGTATCAATCAATTTGTCTCTCTTTTTTTGCGCAGAACACGTACGAGCCTCAGTTTTCACCACACTGCACGGATCGATCAAGATTTAACTTTATTGCACATTCTGGAAGCGTGATTTCGCGTTTTCGTGCCTCAGAACTATTCCAAGGTGAGCGGTGGCGAGGTGGCGCTGGGCATATACTGAATTTACTGCGGTATAAGCCTCACAGGTATTTGGATCGCTATAACGATATGACGGGACAACGGAATAATATCCTGAATACTCGTAATTCTCCGGTCTTCGACGACTTATGGCAAAGCTGCGCGGACTGCCGGGTTGCCCGTTCATTCAGCGCTGTTTCCTCACGACGGTATATGTACGGACATGCCCGGATTTCAACCGTGCTGATCTTGGTAGTGATTGCTCGATAAACAGTATGGAAATGCACTATAATAGGTCAGAGCTATGTGGAGTTCTGTCAAATTGCACATATAGGTAACGCGTCGTTAGCTTCTTTCCATCACATGTGTTGGCGTTTTGTTCTATTTATATTTACTGAGCCGCACAACTGACGGTATATGTGCTTGAGATCTAAACGGTCTGTGTTGCTTATCGTTGTCTCTGGCTCTGGCTGTCATTGTCTCTGGCTCTGGCTTCGCTGCCGTAATGCTAGCACAGCTCCCTAAGCCACTATTTCAAGGCACGGCGTATGCGTGCGCCTATATTGGCCTATTTCCTCAGTTGTTTCTGTTAGGAAACGATGCCGGCGTGCATGCTGGCGCACTCATTCGCGCTTCCGCCTATCTTGGGTGTGCCAGGAGCAGCCCGATTTTATTGCAGCTGCACGGCAGAGGGACAGCCGTCGTATTCAGAGCACGGGGGCAGGTCGCGCACTGAAAATCGGTCAGTTTAAACGCGCTTCATTAATTGAGGAGGAAGCCGGTGCAGTTTTGGGCACTGCTCTAGCAGAAAATTCACTCGCGATTTTGCGTGCATAGCGCGGCCGGATCCATGAAATCCTGGCATTTTAATCACATCCTACACGCCTCTAAACTATTCGCAAATTTGTCACACGCCTAAAAAAGAAAGCGAATATGCACACTCGTTGAGCTACAGTATGATATAGAAGAGATTATAAGTATATATTGTTTTGTTAACGCGAGGCTTACTATATTTCGACCTATACATTTGTTCTTGTTTTTACAACAGTAACAAGTAGTTCTCAAGTCAATCGTCGTACATTTATAAAGTATACAAGAACAAGAAAACTTCAACATTGGTAATATGGAGTAAATAGGTATTTTGCAAGAAGCCCTAAACGACCGCCCCGTACCGGTCTCTATGGCTTATAGCTGGGGCCATTCATTTAGTTGACTAGATGTGAGGTGTGTATTAAAATAAAACGAGTTTCTTCTACACGTTATCATTGTTATCTTTGGCACTCATTAACTTTGAGCGACATTAGGGAGTTTCAGAATAGCGCGCCGCGAGCTCTTGCGGTGCGGTCGCTGCCAATGCGCATGCGTCGTAACACGAGTCGGCGTTCGCGGACCGCGCGCAGAAAATCCGAAATAGCGTGCGGCGATCGCGGCCCGCATGTGGCCCGCAAACGCTAGTTTCGAGGCTACGGTGTCGCTGCGATCGTGCGTTGCGGTTTGCAGGAGGGCTAACGCTATTCTAAATCTCGTATGGCGCCAGCTATGCCCGCAACGGCCGCATCGCTTGGAAACGTTATTCTAAACCTCCCTGTTGGTTTTTCTCTGTCTTAGCGAGGTGGATGCGTTGTTGGAACTTTTTTTTAAACGTGAGGGAAACGGTTCAGCTAGTGGACGGGACGCCGACGTGCCCCACATTTGCCGTCACGCGAGTAAGAAAACGAAGCCATTTTAGCACGACTAACGATGGTGAAACCAACCGCTTTCTCCCGCCATTTGTTGCAAAAGCTTTGACAGGAGAACCTCGGGGTGCATGGCGTCTACTGCGTCCTCGGCCCGCGGCTACGTGTTCCAGCTTCACTAAAGAAGTGAACGAGCGCAATCGTGTTCGAAAATTTTCCTCTTTCCTGCATCGGCATACGTCTTCATGGCGGGCTGTATTGGCGTTGCCAATAAGTCTCTGTCGTAAGCTTAGTATGCCCTAAACGTGCGCGCTGGTAAATAAAATACTCGTGCACTCGTGGAAAGGTTGCGGTGATCGTTATCACCTCCCTAAAAAAATATGATACTACCGTGTTCTTTAAGCGCATCCAGACACGGAACCAGAATTTAACTTAGGAGTGGGGTCACTCAAACCGGCGTCCGTACTATAGCTAAAAAAAAAAAACGAGTTTCTTTAAAAAAAACAGTCTGCTAAAAAACAAACGTTTTCAGGCTGTGCAGCTGTGGCCGCACGTCCATTTCCAGCGGTGGGACCACATCACTCGGCAGCTAAAGCCCTCGCTATAGACCGCAGGTGTGACTGAACCCCCCCCCCCCCCCTCCAAGAGCTGGTTCTCGTACGTGCACGTGTTTTCGCGAAAGCTACCACATTTACGTTGAAAAGTGCTTCTCATGCCATGTCGCGGGCGCTCAAAATTTGCGAAGATATGCAATCCTGGTATTTTTTTTTAGGGTACCACATTTCGCGACGACTCTCACTTACTGGTTTCTTTCGCAATAATCCATAGCTGCGCAGCAGTTCGGTAATTGGCTAGGGCGCATAAGCGGCAGCGCTGAATTATTGCCCTTTTCCCGAGAGCAATGAAACGTCGAACGTGGTTCGAGAGGAAAAAAAAAAATCTGAGCGCCAGGACACCTCTCATAGACGCACTTTTCAAGTAAAATATCGGCAAATCGCTTATATAGCAGACCGTCAGTCTAGATGTGGTTGTCGGGGACTGGGTCCGGCAGTGCAGGCTTGGTGGTGATGCCAGTCATGTCGGGGTAGTTTTGCCCGTCGCTGACGTACGGCTTGCACTTGGCGTCCCGAGTGTTCGCGTACAACCAGGGAACAAAGAGGCCCACCCGGGTATACACGCCGTACACGTCCTTGAGGGCGCATTTCTTTCCGAAAGACACAACTCCGCAGATCGCCTCGCAGTTTCCGGCTTGCACCATCAGTGGGCCCCCGGAGTCACCCTGCAAACAAGATTGTGAGCTAGTTTCAGTCCATTGGCTTGGGTAGTTATCGAACGCCCAGAAGTCTAATTTACCGGGAGTTTCGCGAAAACAATAGCATTTTTCTCGTCTTTCATACGCTCCTCAAATAGGTTAGTGCAGAGCTGTACACAGTGTGCCCCATCTCTTTTTAGCCAAAGCGAAAAATATGCCGACGCATTATAAGACGATGAGACCAAGTGCATGTTGCTTACTATCGTCTGGGGTGAACCACAATATATTTTATTTGTTTTCCGCTTAGCAGTACAATTAGGAGTGATTAATTACCTAAGTTTTGATGCAAGAAGGCAATTCAAGTTCTCATTTTACCCGTGCACAATTAACGAGTGGAACTCGCTCGCAATATCAGCAGTGCAAAGTATAAAAATAATTGAATGTCTTCAGGATTGATGTTAGGTTTTAGTCAGTATGTTCTTTTTTTGTGTGAATATTGCTTTTTTCTTTGCTTTTCTTTACACAATTTGATATATTCCAAGTGTTATTACTTTCGAGCTTTGCTGTACTGATTAGACACTGCCTTTCTTTTCAATGCACTGTATGTAAGTGTGTCTATGTATTGCCTTTTCGAGTACACTTTTGCCCCTCCTGCTAGGGCCCCAGTCAGGCCTGCAGTATTCAGTAAATAAAAAAATTACTGGAAAGATTGCTGATCGGTGCGTAAAACGTTTGATTAACCACTTTACGACTTCATATCTGTTAATTTTTAGGGTTTGTATGCTTACTGCAGCTACCCACGAAATACAAAAACAATACCAAGTAACTTGCGCGCTAAAATCCCTCTATTTTTCAAAGGCAGCGCGAACTCCTCCTCGCCCGTCACTCTCGGCCGCCATTAATTGTCCGGCGAGAAGGCACGTCGGAGCGCTTGCTCCGTGCAGTAAAAATAGTTTGTGGTTGGTTATCTATCATCTCGCGTTTTATAACCTTCAAATCGCACACTGGTGTCGGCATACATGAGAAATTCCATCGCGGCCCCTTACGCGCGAACAGCTTTCACTCCAAACAGTTTTCCGGAGTAACTACACAGTTAACCCTAAAAGTGCGCTTTGCTCCTTCAAAAGAAGAAACGTATGCAAAAATTTCCACGTGGCTCGACAAGCAGGACGCTTTCCTGCTCGGGGAGAAAAGGGCCCTTCTGCAGAAATGTTCGCGCCGTGCGCAAACGACCCGTCGGTGCCTACACAAACCTGTTTCTATCCAAACGGTGCCTTGTAATGTGGTAGCGTTAGTGCACGCGCATGCTGGCGCAATGTTTGCGAGTTATAATCCCGTGTGTTTGCTGCAAATTTTCTGAAAAATATATTGCTGTATGCGATGCGTGTGTATCGATTCTATACGTGTAATCATAATGCCTGCTCAAACTTCAAAATGATAGTTAATTCAACCAAGAATTGATTTTTCTTTTGCACAAAAAGCAACACCGTTGAGAAGCATCGGGAAGATAGGGGGGGGGGGGGGTAACTTGGCTGTTACACCGAAAAGGAAGGAATGGCTGGCTGTGTCAAGTTAGTTACTTCTCTAAAGGAGCAACCTCGACACCTCTTTACCTCCTTTAATTCTGACCTGGGACCTGTTTCGACAACGTGAAGAGGTAATATTTGTGCATTGTATTTGAGTTCATAAGTATGAGATGAGTCGCTCGCACAAGGAAACCACTTAAGAGGCAGAGTATGTTGCACTCGATCCTAGGAAGTCTTTACAGCTATACCATTTTTCTTTTTTCCCAAACCGTGGTGTTTTTTCTAGAAGGCACATTTCGGAAAATCAACCGCCACATAAAATTATGGACGCACAACATGAAGTAGGCACTTAATGGCTAAATACCCCCAGGGTCATCAGCACCATAATAATCAGCCTGACTACGTCCACTGCAGGACCAAGGCATCTGCCATGTTCCGCCAGTCAACTCGGTCCTGTGCTTGCTGCTGCCATTTTATATCCACAAACTTATTAATCTCATCTGCCCATCTAACTTTCTGTCTCACCTTAACCCGCTTGCCTTCTCTGGGAATCCAGTTGCTTACCCTTAATGACCAGCGGTTATCCTTTCTACGCGCTACATGCCCGGCCCATGTCCATTTCCTCTGCTTTATTTCAACTATGATATCCTTAACCCCCGTTTGTCCCCTAATCCACTCTGCTCTCTTCTTGTCTCTTAAGGTTACACCTACCATTTTTCTTTCCATTGCTCGCTGCGTCGTCCTCAATTTAAGCTGAACCCTCTTTGTAAGTCTCCAGGTTTCTGCTCCATAGCTAAGAACCGGCAAGATACAGCTGTTATATACCTTCCTCATGAGGGATAGTGGCAATCTAGCTGTCATAATTTGAGAGTGCTTGCCGAATGTGCTCCACCCCATTCTTATTATTCTAGTTACTTCAATCTCGTTATTCGGCTCTGCGGTTATTACCTGCCCTAAGTAGACATAGTCTTTTACAACTTCAAGTGCACTATTACCTATCTCGAAGCGCTGCTCTTTTCCGAGGTTGTTGTGCATTACTTTCGTTTTCTGCAGATTAATTTTGAGACCCACCTTTCTGCTCTCCTTGTCTAACTCCGTAATCATGAGTTGCAATTCGTCCCCTGAGTTACTCAGCAATGCAATGTCATTGGTGAAGCACAGGTTACTAAGGTATTCTCCATTACCTCTTATCCCTAACTGTTCCCATTCTAGGCTTCTGAAAACCTTTTGTAAGCACGCGGTAAATAGCACTGGCAAGATTGTATCCCCCTGCCTTACACCCTTCTTGATTGGTATTCTGTTGCTTTCTTTATGAAGCACTATGGTAGCAGTTGATCCTCTGTAGATTTCTTCCAGGACGTTTATATATGCTTCGCCGACACCCTGATACCGCAGTGTCTGCATGACTGCTGATATTTCTACTGAATCAAACGCCTTCTCATAATCTATGAAGGCTATGCATAGTGGTTGGTTATATTCTGACCATTTCTCTATTACCTGATTGATAGTATGAATGTGGTCGATTGTTGAGTAGCCTGTTCGAAATCCTGCTTGTTCCTTTGATTGATTGAATTCTAATGTTTTCTTTACTCTGTTAGAAATTACCTTTGTAAGTAGCTTGTATACTACGGAGAGCAAGCTGATCGGCCTGTAATTCTTCGAGTCCTTGTCATCTCCTTTCTTATGTATTAAGATGATGTTAGCATTCTTCCAAGATTCTGGTACTCTTCCCGTCAGGAGAAACCTTGTAAACAGGGTGGCTAGTTTTTCTAACACAATCTGTCCTCTATCTTTCAAGAGATCTGATGTTCCCTGATGCTCACCAGCAGCTTTGCATCTTTGCATACTGTCCAAGGCTTTTTTTGGCTTATTCTATCATTACTCGTGGGGTGTCATCTAGGTTACTGCTAGATGCTATAGTATTAAGGTCGTGGTTGTGCTGGCTACTGTACAGATCTCTGTAAAACTCCTCCGCTATTTTATCTATCCTATCTAAATTGCTAATTACTTTGCCTTCTTTGTCCCTTAATGCATACATCCGATTTTCGCCTATCCCAAGTTTCCTCTTCACTGCTTTGACGTTTCCTCCGTTTTTCAGAGCGTGTTCCATTCTCTCCATGTTGTACCTTCTTAAATCGGATACTTACGCCTATTAATCAACTTCGAAAGCTCTGCCAGTTCTATTTTGTATGTTGTACTTGAGACTTTCATGCTTTGACGCTTCTTAATGAGATTCTTCGTTTCCTCGGAAAGCTTGCCAGTGTCCCGTCTAACTACCCTGCCTCCAACTTCCACTGCACACTCCGTAATGATGCTCGTCAGATTATTATTCATTGTATCTACGCTAAGGTTGGTTTCCTCAATAAGAGCCGAGTACCTGTTCTGAAGCGAGACGCTGAATTCCTGTACTTTCCCTCTCTGTGCTAGCTCATTGATTGGCTTATTGCGTATCAGTTTCTGTCTTTCCTTCTTCAAGTCTAGGCGAACTCGAGACCATACCATTCTATGGTCGTACCTTGCCAACCACTTCCACATCCTGCACGATGCCTGGGTGTGCACTTATTATAAAGTCTATTTCGTTCTTATTTTGGCCATTCGGGCTCCTTTATGTCCACTTACGGTTTCCTCGTTTTCGGTAGAAGGTATTCAAAATTCGTAAATTATTGCATTCTGCGAATTCTACTGGTAGCTCTCCTCTGGCATTTCTAGTACCGATGCCATAATCTCCTACTGCCTGGTCTCCAGCCTGCTTCTTCCCTACCTTTGCATTAAAGTCTCCCACCTGTATAGTATACTGTGTTTTTACCTTGCTCATTGCCAATTCCACGTCTTCATAGAAGCTTTCAACTAAAGCGTCATCATGGCTGGAGGTAGGCGCGTAAGCCTGTACCACCTTCATCTTGTATCTCTTATTGAGTTTAATTACGATACCTAACACCCTTTCATTGATGCTAAAGTATTACTCTATGTTGCCAGCTACGTTTCTGTGAATTAGGAACCCTACTCCCAGTTCTCTTCTGTCAGCCAAGCCCCGATAACAAAGGACGTGCCCATTCTGTAGCACCATATAGGCCTCAAGTGCTCACCATATTGAGCTTTCACTCTGACTTAAATTGTGATTTGACTTCACCCCGTATTCACAAACGCTCTTCAACTCCTTCACTTGACTGAGCTGAGCACTGTGCCACCGCTCGGCTGAAAATGGCGCTGAGCTGCTCAAGAATAGCAGCAGATCATCACTGATGTGCAGCGACTTGTCGTGACTAGAGACGGCGCTCTCATCGGCTTACTCAAGTGAAGGTGGAGCGTTGAGTGAAACGACGTTCTAGAATACGGGGGTTAGTGTCTCTTTGAGGAGGCACTCAGTGAAGCACCCAGACATAGGCGGCTATAGATAGATGAACACGTGGAGCGCTGAAACTAGATGGAGTTCACTAAGAAATACATTCGCATGTAATGAAGTTTTATTGCTTTATTACCTTTCCTTTGAAAGAACATACA